ACTAAGCCACCCAGGTGCCCCAACTCCCCCCTAAATTTAACTAATAGCCTACTGTTGACCAGAGCCTTAGTGATAACATAAAATGGTCAATTAACACCTACTTTGTAGGTTATATGATGTTACTGTATTCTTACAATAAATTAAAGAGAACATTAAGGAAATCATAAGGAAAATACACTTAATAGTACTGTATGGATCAAAATCATCTTCATCTAAGTGGACCTGTGCAGTTCAAACCTATGTGGTTCAAGGATGAACTGTACTGACTTTTAAATAAAAAATACTTCATTGATAAGTAAAATACTATCTGAGCTTTCAGTGACTTGTTACTCTTCTGTTGGTGGAGGGATTTGTGTGATGGCTGCTGACTGATCAGGGTGCTGGTGGCTGAAGGTCAGGGTGGCTGTGGCTATTTCTTTAAATAAGAAAATGACGGCAACTGGGTGGCTCAGCCGTTAAGCGTCTGCCTTCGGCTCAGGTCATGATCCCGGGGTCCTGGGATCGAGCCCCGCATCGGGCTCCCTGCTCAGTGGGGAGCCTGCTTCTCCCTCTTCCACTCCCCCTGCTTGTGTTCCCTCTCTCGCTGTGTCTCTCTCTGTCAAATAAATAAATAAAATCTTAAAAAAAAAAAAAAGACAGTGACGTCAGTTTGCTACACCGATGGACTCTTCCTTTCACAAACGATTTCTCTGTAGCATGTGATGCTGCTTGATAGCATTTTACCCACAGTAGAACTTACTTCAAAATTAGGAGTCCATTCTTTCAAACCCTGCCATTGTTTTGTCAACTAAGTTGGTGTAATATTCTAAATCCTTTGTTGACATTTCAACAATCTTCGCAGCAGCTTCACCGGGAGTAGATTCCACGTCAAAAAACCACTTGCTTTGTTCATCCCTAAGTAGCAGCAACTTACCTGTTCAAGTTTTGTCATGGGGTTGCAGCAGTTCAGTTCCATCTTCAGGGTCCACTTCTGATTCCAGTTCTTTTGCTGTTTCTACCCTCTTATAGTTACTTTCTCCTCTGAAGTCTTAAACCCCTCAAAGTCATCCATATGGGTGGGAATCAGTTTCTCCCATGAATCACACATGTTCTTAATGGCATTCAGGATGGTGAATCCTTTCCAGAAGGTTTTCAGTTGACTTTGCCCACGTCCATCAGAGGAATCACTGTCTGTGGCAGCTACAGCCTTACAAAATGTATTTCTTAAATATTAAGACTTGAAATTTGAAATGACTCCTTGATCCATGGCCTGCAGAATGAAGGCTGTGTTAGCAGAATTGAAAACCTTAATCTCACTGTACATCTCCATCAGAGCTCTGGGTGACCAGGTTCATTGTCTGTGAGCAGTCATATTTTGAAAAGAATCTTTTTTTTTCCTTTGAGCAGTACGTCTCAAAAGTGGCTTAGTCCCACATCGGGCTCCCTGCTCAGCGGGGAGTCTGCTGCTTCCTCTGATCCTCCCCCCTCTCGCTCTCTCTCTCTCATTCTCTCTCTCAAATAAATAAATAAAATCTTAAAAAAAAAAAAGTGGCTTAAAATATTCAGTAAACCATCATGTAAACAGACGTGCTGTCATCCAGGCTTTGTTTTTTCTATTTACAGAGCAGAGGAAGAGTAGATTTAGCATAATCCTGAAGGGACCTAGGATTTTCCGAATGGTAAGTGAGCATTGGTCTCCAAAATCACCAGCTGTCTTAGCCCCTAACAAGAGAGTCAGCCTATCCTTTGAGGCTTTGAAGTCAGGCACTGACTTCTCCTGTCTAGCTATGGAAGTCCTAGCTGGCATCTTCTTCTTCCATCTTCTTCCAAACTGATGGCGGTTTCATCTACACTGAAAATCTGTTGTGTAGCCACCTTCACTAATTATTTTAGCTAGATTTTCTGGAGAACTGTCAGCTTCTCCATCAGCACCTGCTGCTTCATCTTGCACTTTGACATATGGAGATAACCTCTTTCCTTAAACCTCAGGAACAAACCAACCTCTTCCTTCTCTTCGGCAGCTTCCTCACTTCTCTCAGCCTTCATGGAATTGAAGAGAGTTAGGGTCTTGCTCTGGATTCAGCTTTAACTGGCGTAAGGGAATGGTGTGGTTGGTTTAATCTTCTATCCAAATCACTCAGACTCTCTGCATATCAGCAATAAGGCTGTTTCACTTTGTTATCACTCCCGTATTTACTGGAGTAGTAGTTTTATTACTTTCCTTCAAGAACTTCTTGCATTCACAACTTGGCTCGTGGCACAACAGGCATAGTTTTTGGCTCATCTTGGCTTTTAACCTGCCTTCCTCACCAAGCTTCGTTATTTCTACCCTTTGAATTAAGTGAGAAACCTGTGACTCTTCCCTTCACTTGAACACTTAGGCCAGTGAATAATCCTACAGTGGCCTCTAATTTCAGAGTTGTGTCTCAGGAAATAGGGAGGCCGAGGAGGGGAGAAAATGCCTACTCGGTGGAGCAATGAGAACACACACATTTATTAAGTTTGCCGTCATGTATAGGACTTATTCACGGCACCCCAAAACCATTACAATAGTAACCTCAAAGATCACAGATCACCATAACAAATACAATGACAAAGTCTGACCTATGAGAATTGCCAAAATAGGAGACACAAAAGGAGCAAATACTGTTAGGAAAATGGTGCCAATAGACTTGCTTGGTGCAGAGTTGCCACAGACCTTCAGTTTGTTAAAGACAAAACGAAAACTGCAAAGCACGAAGTATACCACATCTTCTTTATCCATTCATCTATTGATGGATACTTAGGTTGCTTCCGTATCTTAGCAAATTATAAATAATGCTGCAGTGATCATAGGGATGCACACTTTTTTAAGATTTTATTTATTTGACAGAGACGCAGCGAGAGAGAACACAAGCAGGGGGAGCGGGAGCGGGAGAGGGAGAAACAGACTCCCCGCCGAGCAGGGAGCCCGATGCGGGGCTGGGTCCCAGGACCCTGGGATCATGACCTGAGCCAAAGACAGATGCTTAACGACTGAGCAACCCAGGTGCCCCGGGGTGCACATATTTTTAATTAGTGGTTTTGTGTTCTTTGATAACCCCAGTAGTGGAATTACTGGATCATATGGTATTTTCCATTTTTTGAGGGACCTCCATGCTATTTCCACAGTGGCTGCACCAGTTTGCATTCCTCCCCAGCAGTGCACGAGGGTTGCCTTTCCTCCACATCCTGACCAACACTTGGAATTTGTTTTTTTGATACTAGGCATGCTGACTGGTGTGAAGGTGATAGCTCATTGTAGTTTTGATTTGCATTTCCCTGATGAGGGATGTTGAGCATCTTTTCATGTGTCTGTTGGCCATCTGTATTTCTCCTTTGGAACAATGTCTATTCAGGTCCTCTGTCCATTTTTTATTCAGATTGGGTTGTTTGTTTCGTGTTGTTGAATGAGTTCGTTATATAATTTCAGTATTTTTTTTTTATCAGATACCTGATTTGTAAATATCTTCTCTCTTTCAGTAGGTTGCCTTTTTGTTTTGTTGGTTTCCTTTGTTGTGTAAAAGCTTTTAGTCTGATATAGTCCGTTTTTGCTTTTGTTGCCCGCAATTGCCTGAGGGCAGGTACTCAGACCAGTGTATGAGAACTAACTACCCTGTATTTTCTTCTAGTTTTATGGTTTCAGTTCTCACATTCAAGTCTTCAGTCCACTTTGATTTTATTTTTATTTATTTTGAAAGATTTTATTTATTTGCCAGAGAGAGAAAGCACAAGCAGGGGGAGCAGCAGGTTCCCCACTGAGCAGGGAGCCCGATGTAGGGCTCGATCCCAGGACCCTGGAATCATGATCTGAGCCCTTGACTTTATTTTTATATATGGTGTAAGAAGTGGCCTAGTTTTCTTCTTTTCCATGTAGCTGTCTAGTTTTCCCAGCACCATTTATTGAAGAGACTTTCTTTTAAGATTTATTTATTGATTTGGGAAAGAGAGAGACTGAGAGGGAGGGAGAGAGAATCTGAAGTAGACTCCGCGCTAAGCACAGAGCCCGACTGTGGCTCTATCCCGTGACCCTGAGCTCATGAGCTGAGCTGAAACCGAGTCAGACGCTTAACCGACTGAGCCACCCAGGTGCCCCTTTAAGAGACTGTCTTTTCCTGCTTTGTTCTTGCCATCTTTGTTAAAGATTATTTGATTGTGGGCTCCCTATTTTGTTTCATTAATCTGTTTTTGTGCCAGTACCATATTGTTATTATTGCTTTGTATTATAGTTTGGAATCAGGGAGCGTGATACGTCCAGCTTTGTTCTTCTCAAGATGGTTTTGGCCATTTGGAGTCTTGTGTGGTTCCATACAAATTTTAGGATTCTTCTAGTTCTGTGAAAAATGCCATTGGTATTTACATAGAGATGATACTGAATCTGTCGATTGTTTAGAAGTATGGACATCTTGGGGCGCCTGGGTGGCTCAGTCGTTAAGCGTCTGCCTTCGGCTCAGGTCATGATCCCAGAGTCCTGGGATCGAGCCCCGCATTGGGCTCCCTGCTCCGCGGGAAGCCTGCTTCTCCCTCTCCCTCTCCCCCTGCTTGTGTTCCCTCTCTCGCTGTGTCTCTCTCTGTCAAATAAATAAATAAAATCTTTAAAAAAAAAAAAAAGTATGGACATCTTAATAATACTGATTCCTCTAATCCATGATCATAGTATATCTTTCCAAAAAGGCTTTTGTTTTGTTTTGTTTTTAAGAGTTGAAGTCCTGTATAAAAAGTCATAATCCAGGGGCACCTGGGTGGCTCAGTTGGTTTAGTGTCTGCCTTTGGCTCAGGTCATGACCTCAGGGTCCTGGGACGGAGCCCTGCATCAGGCTCTCTGCTCAGCGGGGAGTCAGCTTCTGTCTCTCATGTGGCCCCTCCATCCCCACTCGTGATTTCTCTCTAATAAAATCTTTTTTTAAAAAGTGGAAATCCATATGTAGATGAATTTGTATGACCAAGTAAAACAAATCTACTCTGAGTTATACAAATGAATGTGAATTAGAAAACTTAAAATATGAATTTCAAATATTTTATTAAGGGAAAACAACTAATTCTTGGCTTTCAAAAACCTTTAAAAACATTATAAAACTTTTATTAAAAACCCTAACAAAATACAAGTTAAATCAGCCAGGTATTTCGAGTAACCTTGTGATTTACTATAAAAATCAAGTATTACAAATGCTTATGGATTTTTTATAGTAATTCCCTGAGGATTTCATTTCACATATATCAAACCCTTTCACCATGTTTAATACAAATATGAACTATTTTTTAAAGTTCTCGTTAAACCTTTAAGACATTTTAAATTGCTATATCATAAATTTCAACCTAGTGATATTTACTGATAAAAAAGATGGGAAATCTGTTTTGAAAATAGATACATAAAACAAAATAGTTCCTATCATTAAGATTTTGGGAAAAAATGCAGCTTTTTAGTTAGCATTGAGGCAAAGCAGGGAACCTGCTTCTTTCCAATTGCATTCAGGTCTTTGCAAAAGTCCACTCGGCGCTGAGAAACTTTCCTGTTCACCAAGGTGAGGAGTTCTGTGAACTCTAAGGAGGAGCCGAATTTTCCCAGCATCTCACACAAATCTTGAATGTACCATGAGCCATTCACAGTTTCCCGATGAGAATAATAACCTAAAAGGAAGGAAAAGAGCAGGGTTTTTGGCTTTCAGTTACTTTGAGTTTATAATGCACCATTACAGAAATATAAGGGCTCAAAAATTCTTGAATTCTTAAGATGTGCCCCTGACGGTTTCAGAAGTTTTCTCGGTTGACTAGTCTCATATGGGAAAAGGGATTAATTTATATAGTTTTATAAAAATGGGCTTAATTCTATGTAGTTTCCTCCATTTCCTAAAAATTCCCAAGACCACAGTAACCAGGCAGTGATTCTGACACGAGATTGGAAAGAAAAACGTAGTTTGCTGCCCGAGCAAGGAACACGGTAGTCGAAGAAGTGTTTTCAACAAAGCTTTCCAGGAGTGTTATCATGACACTATCACAGTCAACTGATAACAAACAGGCAGCTCATATTCAGTATAACTTGTAACCTAACACGGTTCTCAGGAATGATTTGTCTATTAAGTCACTCTACACTTCAGAGATCACCCTGGGCCATGTGATCAAAGAAATCTAAGACTGAACTTGAGGATCAAATCGCGGTGTCGGACAGAAGCACCAGTCTTAAGCTCAGGTGAAACGTACAGAACTCAAGTCAGGGAAGCCCATTCGGATTGTATTAAACACCCACCCACCTTCTGCAACAGAGTAACACATGAGGAAGTCGGCTCCGGCAGGCAGTGTGTGCACCGAGGCCGCGTCCACCTCGGTGATGTTGGCCTCCGGCTGCTCCGTCCGATGATCCACCACGTCCAAAGGAAGGACGGGCACGTCGTGCTGGTCTCCCCGACACGCCTAGGAGACGAGGAGGAAACCCACTTTCCTGTCCTGCCTCCTCTCCTCTCCCCGGCGCTTCGTGTTTACTGTGAACGTGTCATTTCACACACCGTCATGTCAGCAGCAACACAAGCCACTTTACAGGTACTTCGGAAACCACGTCCAGTTTCGGAGCAAATGAAGCTGACCGCTTTTGCCTACCTTTAATTAAGGTTTTCAAAAAAACTGGCATCCTCAACTGTACACCAAATTGTGCTGATTGAAAGGTCTGCTATGGAGGAGAAAGCCTCTGGGTTTTAAAGGTTCTTCTGGATTAATAACCACTCTATAGCACCAAGATGCACCTCTTCTTTAAAAGCTCTGGTCTTTGCCTGGTGTTAATGGTGAACCAGGGAATATTATATGCCCCGACTGGGTTGTGCTTGCCCAGCTGCTGCCATAAATTGTCAAAAGGACACCACCTGACCCATGAAGACCTCTTTTACTGGGCCCTTTCTTTTTGCTCGTGCTTCAGAGTGAAGTCTCAAATTCTTCTCCGCTAATCCGGACTCACACAAAGGCTGACATAATTTCTACTCTTAAATGACTATTATGGGTTGAATTTTGTCACCCTCTCCCATTTATAGGTAGAAGTCCTAACACTCAGTATCTCAAATGTGACTGTACTTGGAGATCACGGCCTTTAAAAAGGTAACTAAGGTAAAAGGAGGTCTATTGTGATTTTAACCTACTATAATTGGGGTCTTAGATTAGGACACAGACATGCAGAGAGGAAAGACCATGTGAAGGCACAGGGACAAGACAGCCACGTCCAAGCCAAGGAGACCTGATACCTTGATCTTTGACTTCTAACCTCCAGCACTGTAAGAAAATGAATTTCCGTTGTTTAAGCCACCAGGCTGTGTACTTTGTTCTGGCGGACCTAGGACACTTAATACAGTGACCTAGTAAGATTTGGTAGTGGTATTTTAAATGCAACCCTCATTCTGAAATGCTTGAAGAGTTAGAAGCTATTTATTTATTGCGCAAAAGGTGGTTTTATTAAAGCACGGAGACAGGACCGGTGGGCACAAAGTGCTGCCAAGACTTACAAGCTTTGAAAGAAAAAAGTTGTGAGTGATTTCAGTTAAAGATCCCTAATAATTCCATTTTTACAGGGAGATTTTATTTATTTATTTTTTTAAGATTTTATTTATTTATTCATGAGAGAGAGAGAGAGGCAGAGGGAGAAGCAGGCTCCCAAGGAGCAGGGAGCCCGATGCGGGACTCGATCCCAGGACCCTGAGGTCATGATCTGAGCCGAAGGCAGACGCTTAACCATCTGAGCCACCCAGGCGCCCTACGGGAGATTTTAATCTTATTTCATATCATTAGGCTTCTTTTCAGAACTTACTTTCCACTGTCTTCCTCTCTCTCCTGTAAAACACCTAGAATCTGATGCTCTCACCTGCCAACTCCGTTGCAGTCAGCTGAGAGCTAGCCTTTATGCAGGGCTTGTGTGTGTGCCGGGCACTGTTCCAAGTGTGTTCATCTGTTAGGTCGTTCGTCCTCAGAGCCACCCCATGAGGCAGTGCTCTTTTATCCCCTTTCACAGATGAAGACTTGGAGGCACAGAGAAATAACTGGGCAAAACATTTTCCTCCTTTGTGGCTATCCCCGCGTAGTAGCTCGCTAGTTATTTCTAATTCTGTTGTCTTTGATGGGGCTGGCCACTCTTTTCATGAAGCAATCATGTCATTATTTTCCCCGATTTTTCCCCTATTCGCTGGGCCACCCCCCTCAGAATCTTTCCTCTGCTCATTGCTGTCCCTCAGTTCTTTTTTGCACTCATCTTTCAAGCTATACTTGATACTTGTAAACTCATCTACTCCCATGGCTGCCATTACCATTCATCTCCTCATTACTCTCAAATGTATTTCTCCAACCCAGGCTGCCTGTCTTAAGTTCTAGAGCTCTAACTCCACCCGTATGTGATGGATACTCCAAGGCAGTTGTCCCAAAAAGAAACCATGGATCACCCTTAACTCCGTAGAGACCCCCTGCTCCCTGCCCTCAAGGCTTTATGGCAGGCGGAATGTGGCCATGCCCCCATGCTGTTCATGGAAATACAGAACTGCTGCACTAGAACACTGTTCAGATTCCTTACTGATGGACCAAATGAGATCTTTCAGGGCCAAACATATTTTAATCCCTAATACCAGTTTGGCTGAGGGGAAAAGGTACCCACCGGCCTCCCTGCACAGTCTCTTCCAACAGAGACCCTTCCTCTGGTAGCTGCACCTGATGCTGGGCCCGGCTGGAGTGTGGCACATTGGTTATTTTAAGTCCTTTCAAATGTCAATCTATTAATAAACTGATAATCTTTATTATTTATTCCTTGTTAAGGAGGAATTACTACTAATAGGAATTACTATCAATTGCAACTCTGATTGGCTGGGAAGCCAAAAGGGCCTTTCCAATTATTGGAGAGTTACTTTCAAAATTGGCTTTAGTTCTTTATAATCACATGTGCAAAACCATGGACTTTACAATTGAGATTGTAATATAATCAGTCTTACCTGAATGATAAATATCTTCGGTTTTCCAACCAGGCTCTGGCATTTGTCTCCTTTGAACAAGCCAGTCAATGCCTGAATTTCAATTTTGGCATCATATGCGTAAATGTGATTGCCTTCGCCATGACTCAGGAAAACACATAAAAAGCAGTCGGCATCTGTGTGGCTAGCGGTTGACGCTATAAAGGCCGCCAAAAGTTTAGAGAAATAAGATGTTTATTATGTACATATAAAAATTCAGTTTACTAATACGAGAATAAAGTTACATATGGAGGAGGAGGAAAATTACAATAAATGTAAAATGTAATGAAACGCAACCTAGTCTTTAATCAGAGTAATTTATACCATACTGTATCTGATTTTTAAAAACCTATTAAAAGTTCAAAGAGTTTGAACAGATTTCATTAGCTTTCCTACAGTGACATGGGAAACATAATGGGATGATTGTGGCAATAAAGTGTCATTGAGCAGAGAGCTGCTGAGAGCCAACTGGAAAGCCCCCGCAACTACTCTGGGGGGGCTCCTGGGGGCTGCCGCACCTCCAGTGAGCACGACAGCTTCACTCTACAGCTGCAGCACTGACCGCAAGCAAAGCAGAAAACCTGCTAAGCAGCCAGTTAAAATGATTTTACAGGTTAAAGAAGTCTGGTACAGAGGTTCCTCAAAAAATTAAAAATACAGCTACCATTTGATCCAGCAATTCCACTTCTGGTATTTACTGACGAAAAACGAAAACGCTAATTTGGAGACACCTGCATCCCCATGTTCACTGAAGCACAACGGCCAAGATGTGCAAAGAACCTGTGTCCATCAGTGAATGAAGGAAGGAAGAAAATGGGATATAAACATATATATGGATGTGTAGATCTATACAGATACATACACACACACACACACACACACACACGAATATTATTCAGCCATAAAAAAGGAAATCTTGGCCTTTGCAACAACATGGATGGATTTTAAGGGCGTCCAAGAAAGACAAATACCGTATGAAACCAAACCTACAGATCGAGAACAGATTGGTGGTTGCTGGTAGGTGAGGTAAAGTGGATCAAAAGGTACAGACTTCCAATTATAAAATAAGTCCTGGGGATATAATATACAGCATAGCGCCTATAATAATACTATATTATATATTTGAAAGTGGCTAAATTTTTAAAATGCTCATCACAAGAAAAATTTTTTTTCTAATTTTGTAAGGTGACAGATGGTAAGGACACTGGTGAACATTTTACAACGTATACAAATATTGAATCGTTGTACACCTGAAACTAATACGTTATTTTTCAGTTACCCCTCAAATTTAAAAAGCTCTGCAGTTTAAATACATAAATATAATAGTCCATTGCAAATGACTTGAAAACCCATGGCACACAGTAATTATGATAAACATAAGTTAGATTACCTACTGTACAGTGATGTAGAAACTCAGACAATATATGTAAATCCACAATTATTATTTTTTAAATAAATCCACACTATTTTGACGCCAGTAAAAAACTTGAGTATGGAAGGAGTCAATTAAAACATGACTGCCCAGCATTTGTAGTATTTGCATTTTAGACTTTTAATTCCCAAATGAGAAGGTCATTTCATTCATTTCTAGAGTAACAGACTGTAATGAGTGGTATATGCTAAACAAAAACTTTGGAGGCATAATACTTTGCAAGAGTCTCTGAATCTGGTGGGTAACATCCAAGCAGAGGGGCACAACCAAACCTGTAACCCATGCTAAATTAGTTACTAAGACTTTTTTACAACACAGTTAAGTATTTGGATGCTTTTATAGATAGGATGCTCAATCCCCTCAGAAGGTAAATGGGAAACTACTTACCCTCATGAATTTTGAGCAGTAGTTCTTCTGCTTTAAGATCATTAAAGCATTTCACTTCAAATCCTAGTTCTGAAAACCTGGTGATAAACTAGATATTAGCTTAGGAGCTATTCAAAGTTGTCACATACCCATATTTACTAGGAGTACATCTATACAGGTTTTTATGACCTATAAATTAACCTTTAGGGGAAAAGAAAAAAATGAAAGATGACAATGATGGTTTTCCTTGATCACCCACAGTGGGCAAGGTTTTACTCATAACTGATTCAAGTTAGAATGTTGCCATCTGCTATGCAAATATGTATGTAACTATGCAGAGCCTGTTAACATTTAACAGAACAGGGTTAGGAAGAAAATTCAGGCGAGGTCTCAAGGGACCCTGTGCCCAAGTGAGGCCCAGCCTCAGATACTCTTGCTCTGTTATTTCCTCAGTGGGGACAAGTTTTGATAAGTACCACGTAAATATCCCGTCCTCTTGACAGGTAGGTAAAACTAGTACCTGCGTCTAAGATTGTCTCTGTCTGCGCTGGTGCCCCGCCTTTCTGGCAACGTCAAATGCCAGAGGAACCTCTCGTGATTGAAGATTAAAGCAATTCCTCTCCTCTTGTGGTCCATTTTGTACTTTTCTGCCGGATCAAATATTTCACTGTTAATGAAAAGTTTTAAACAACAATCACTTCAAGTCCTGTTGAACAACGAGCTCCTCCAAGCCCAAGATCAATGTGGAAGGTAGACAAAGGTCTGCTGTTTGCGCCTCGTCTGCCAGGCTGGCATGCTTCTGCTGTGCTCTGGGAAAGCCTCGCAGCCGTACTGGTAAGGAAAACCCCGAAATATTTCTGTGCTGATTGGTAAACGGCAGCCATCCTGAGCACCCCGACCCCCAGTCCTTCCAGGGGCGTCTTTTCTCCAGGATCCAGGAACCAGGGACAACAGCCTGCCCAGGCCCCAGCTCTGGCTCCAGGGCCTGCACCACACCAGTTACTAGATATTGTGAACATCACTGTAGGTCCGGAAACGACCAAGGGCAGCAACCAATGCGCAGGTCGACGAGCCCCCTGTCCCAATGCTAACACACGCCATTCTCAGCTTGACTCACTCCCTTGTGCCCTTCTTGCTTCTTACAGACTGATCATGATCAGCAAAGGAAGAGGCCTTCATTAGGAAAGTGCACATTTTTACCTCTTACGGAAGGCGTCCGTTTCTGTCATGTTTTGTTCCTCACCTATTTTAAAAAAAAGTTGAATTTTGTTAATTTACTTTTTGACTTGCAGTAAAACATAGCAGGCCTCCCACACTCTAAGCCCTTCAAGTTTTTTTTTTTTTTTTTAAAGATTTTATTTATTTATTTGAGAGAGAGAGAGAAACAGCATGAGAGGGGATAGGGTCAGAGGGAGAAGGAGGCTCCCCGCTGAGCCGGGAGCCCGATGTGGGACTCGATCCCAGGACTCCGGGATCATGACCTGAGCCGAAGGCAGTCGCTTAACCAACTGAGCTACCCAGGCGCCCCTAAGCCCTTCAAGTTTTGCTTGGTTTAAAACTCAGAGTATATGGGGGCACCTGGGTAGCTCAGTGGTTGAGCGTCTGCCTTCGGCTCAGGTCATGATCCCAGGGTCCTGGGATCAAGTCCCGCATCGGGCTCCCTGCTCAGCGGGAAGCCTACTTCTCCCTCTCCCACTCCCCCTGCTTGTGTTCCCTCTCTAGCTATCTCTCTCTTTGTGTCAAATAAATAAATAAAATCTTAAAAAGTATATGAAAATGAGAAAAAGGAAGGGAAACTGCTTAATAATAAGTGAACTATAAATTAACAGCTCAATTCTTTCTCACCCTGAATTTTTTTTTTTTTAAAGATTTTATTTATTTATTTGAGAGAGAGAGAATGAGAGAGAGCACATGAGAGGGGGGAGGGTCAGAGGGAGAAGCAGACTCCCCGCAGAGCAGGGAGCCCGATGCGGGACTCGATCCAGGGACTCCAGGATCATGACCTGAGCTGAAGGCAGTCGCTTAACCAACTGAGCCACCCAGGCGCCCCCCTCTCACTCTGAAGTCTTATTTGAAAAATAGGAAAAAGTACTATCAAAAGAAATGGAGAAAATATTATGCAAATGCATTCATTGCAAAATATACCTACAGTAACAGTTCTGTGATTATGGACCAACGCAAATGAAATATGGAATTGTTCTGCAGAAAATGTTTTTACAGATATTCCTTATAACCGAGAAGGAATTAAAAACACAGGAAAACTGAAACACAGTGTGTGGATAATACTGGATTACCCTATGACCTGGAAGAGGTAGAAGTCTGGAGCAGGGAAAGGCCAAGGGCAAAGGCTTAAATTTTAGATCTCCCAAATGACACACCTGCACTTACAAGCCGTCCCATGATGGGGATCCTGTGTTCCCGACCCGTGATCAGACTTCCCCATCCTCTGGGCCACCCTTCACTGGACCCTTCCCTTAGAGCAGTGTCGTGCAGCAGAACCTTCTCTGCTGATGGAATCCTTCTGCACTGTGCTGTCCTATGTGCTAGCCACGGGCCACAGGTGGCTGCTGGGCACTTGAAATGGGGCTTGTGCACCTAAGGAACTCAATTTTTAATTCAATAACCACACGTGGCCAGGAGCTTCTATACTGGACAGCACAGTCTCGCATCTTCTACAATAAAGGCCCACACAGCTATGACTCTGTTTTTACCTCATAAACTTAACAGCCCAGAGAGGAGGGAAGGGAAGGAATAAACAAATATTAACAGTATAGCAAGATGCTCCTCTCCCTTGAAGTCACCAAAGAAGCACGACAGACCCTCCCACCCATCACCTTGTAACCAGGAGGGTCCCGTTCCTTCTCTCCCTGACACCCGACTCTTCTAGCCTCACACCCCCTCACCGACAGCAATCTGCCCTGGGAGGGAGAGGATGGGATTCGACTCCGTGCCCTTCACCATCACTCTCGGCCTATTCCTCCTGGAATCCACCCAGCATCCACACCGAGCCAGGACCCCACAAAGGCCCTCTGCTGTCCAGTAGACCCTAACTCAGTTTTTCTCATCAATTTCTGCATCAATTCCTGGCCTGGGTGATAAAATGTCCATTCCTGGATCCTAACCCAGATTTACAGAATCAGAATCCCAGGGGAGGGGAAATCTGCATTTTTCACAAGGTGATTTTCATACCAAAGTTGAGGAGTCAAGAGCAGCCTCCCTAAAGCATCCTCCCCAGTCTCCCAAGGTTTTCTTCCTGCCCCACGCACTGCTCTCCCTGTATACCTCCTAAAGCCAGCCTGCTCTCTGGGGGACCACTCCTCCTCCACACCCTGCTCTGTGGGTGATCCGTTGTCACCCACACGCTGCTCTACCATGGTTACCTCGTACCTCATGCGCTGTCTTACCGAAAGGCTTACCATTCACACCCTGATCGACCCGGGACACCTACTACTCTACGAGGAGTACGTTCTACTCTTCTTACTCCACGAACTACTCCACCCAGAATACGTCCCACTCCAGGCCCTGCTCTGTGAAGGATACGTCCTTCTCTACGCACTTTCCTACCGGGGATACTTCTATGCCACAAGCTGCTCACCTGAGCCTACATCCTACCCTTCCTACTCCACAAATTGCTTTACACAGAAACTTCTACACCACAGCTGCTCTGGAGGGGAGAGCACACTCCTCGTGCCGCCCGGGATCCTGTCTCCACACCTGCTCTACCTGGATTCTGCTCTACCTGGGATACTTCTCCACACCTGCCAAGACACTGCTCTACCCAAGGGCGCTTTCCTTCGCGCTCACCTCTCTGCGGGGCGACGGGACGCTTCCCACCAGCCACTGCTGCACCCCGGCACACTTGCCTCCCGCGGGCACACTTCCCTCCTGCGGGCTCACTTCCCCCCTGCGGGCACACTTCCCTCCTGCGGGCACACTTCCCTCCTGCGGGCACACTTCCCTCCTGCGGGCTCACTTCCCCCTGCGGGCTCACTTCCCCCCTGCGGGCACACTTCCCTCCTGCGGGCACACTTCCCTCCTGCGGGCTCACTTCCCCCCTGCGGGCACACTTCCCTCCTGCGGGCACACTTCCCCCCTGCGGGCTCACTTCCCCCCTGCGGGCACACTTCCCTCCTGCGGGCTCACTTCCCCCCTGCAGGCACACCTCCTTCCTGCACGCGCAGGGACCCCCCGGGAGACTTCCTACTTCACTCGCTGCTCTACCAAATGCACTTCCTATTCTGCATGCCCCTGCGGGCCTACTTCCTGCTCCACATGCCCCTGTCGGGATACCCTGTGCTCCACACACCGCTCTACTGGGGAGTACTTCCTACTCAGACTCCCTCTACTCGGGGATACCGCCCTTTGAACTCCCTGCTTTACTGGGATACTTTTTACTCCACACATCATTCTACTTGGAATAGCCCTTACTCCACACAGCGCTCTCCCAGAGACCCTACTCCCCGTGTTGCTCTAAAGGGAATCGGCCTCGTAAGACAGTGCACGACTTGGGATACTTCCCTGGCACACACCTCTCTACTAGAACGCTTTCCACCAGACATCGCTTCACCCGCGATACTTCCTCACTGCATACACCATTCTTCTGGGGAGACTTCCTCCTTCGTACAGTTCTACCCAGGAAACTTCCTCTCCCTCCCCACACTGCTCTATCCTGAATACTTCCTACCGCACACCCCAAATACTGGGATTACTTCCTACTCTCCACACTGCTCTACTAAGGCAGAGGAATTTTCTCGCCTTCTATTTTCAAAAGTGGTCCAGGATCCACCTTTTAATAACCTCACCTCTTTATCTTTAAACCAGTTAAAATGATAAAGAAATAGAACATCTCAAACTAAACATATTCAATCCCCGTGTGAGGGACAGTCCCCTCATTCATTCCCCCCAAACCTGCCCAATTAAGAAAGCACTGATCTCTGACATGGCGCACAAAGGAGCAGACCCAGGAGCTCACCTCTTCTGGCTTTTGCTCCACATCGGTTAGTGAGCCGAAGGCATCAAGTGTAGCGGATGGAAGCTGTGCCGAGTGGCCGGTCACCAAACTAACTCATCAAGGGTGAAAGCATTGGGAGATGGGACACTCGATCGCGTCTTTAAAATTCATTTTTTTATATAAATGAGAACTGTCCTTGAGTTTCTCTCAGGCTAATATGTAAATAAATAACATCCATGCAAAAGAAAAATATTGATTTTTTTATAGTCTAAGGGAGGAATTGCACCATTCCTCCTGGCCAGGTGTAATTTCAGCTGTGCACCTGGATGGTCTCAAACCCTGCCCTCAGCTTAGACGTGGCCTCTGGATATAGGAAAGATAGTAGTTTCAGGCAGCTCCAGATAACCTAAAATAACATTCAGTTTCAAAGTTAACAGATACGGCAATCTCTGAGGGATTTTTAAAAAGTGTTTTGTTGTTACTGTTAACACTATGGATGCAGAAAGAAACTGGGCTCCGAGAACTTTAGTTCGGACCCTTGCCAGCTCAAAGCCCGCTCTGGTATTAGCGTGCACCCTGCGTCCCGCAGGGGCTAGTCAATGGCCAGGTTCTATTCTAGCAGTCTGTACAATCAGAACGGAAAGCGATGGACACAGCTGTTAAAACCTAAGTTCTAAAACTGTACTGGAGTTGATAAATTTGTCCCAGGTTCCATATACATAATACACCGTGACTCCGCTGTGGTCACTCTAGGCTGTATGTCCCCAGCAGACAAACTTTCAGGAAGGGTGCACTTAATACGTGTCATCATTACAAGGCAGGAATACAAATGAACTGCCTACAAGGGTAAAGGGCTCTGTCTTCATGGGAAAAGTAAATTTCAATGGAGATACCGTAAATAACAGACTTGTAAATTCCTATGCATCTGCAATCTATTTCTCAAAAATGGTTCTGTCATTAAACTTGTCTCTTGACCTCTTTTCACTTTTCCTTGCCTCTGATTTAGGCAATTTTCCTTTTCACCATGATGCACCTGCCATCTCTTTGCTCCTTGAACCTGTTTAATTTTTACAAAACTAATCACTCCTTTTTTCTCCTCTCCTTAACTTGATAATGCCTCCAGATAATCCCGCCAGCTCGCATTTGTTGAGGGCCTGGCACTCCAGACTTTCTGGCCCTCAGCTCCACAGCCCATGAGGCAGAGACAGAGACAGTACCCCAGGCTTGTCCAACGACATTGCAGTGGAGCTGGGATTCAAAGCCAGGTCCGCCTGGAAACTCCAAATCTCTGCACTCTGGTCACCAAGTTAAACCCCTCCTACCAGAGAGGCCAGCTCCCTTCCTAAACTAAGTGTTCATTTCTCCAACCTTCTCCATTAACCACGGTCATCGTCTTCATTCACTGCAGTACCTATGAAAACCCACCTATATTCCCTTATCAAAAATCTGTTTAATAATCCTATATTGAGTAAGCTATGTCAGGCCTAGAACACACTCAAAAGGGGGTGGGGTGGAGAAAAGGAAGGACGCAGGTAGGAAAAGGAAAGAATAAAAAGAATAGAGGGGCAAGTGCCCTGACTAGTGGTCGGCATCCTGGAGCCCTGCCCCTGCTGCCCACACCTCACCACGGAATCCAAAATGGGAGTGGCCACCGGACCCTGCCCAGTCCGTCCAGGGCAAGGCCACTCCCTGAACGGCCAAGGTGACTTCTACAACTTGCCTCAGGGGCTAGCCTGGTTTCCTGCAGCAAGGAACAAAAAGCTCTGAAACAAGGTTATCCTGCATCAACCGCTAGTTTCAACCTTTTCTTTCCTTTTTTTTTTTTTTTTTTTTTTTACTATGGCCAGGCTCCAAGTTTCTAAAGCTATCAGTGATACAGTTAGTAAGTGACAGGGAAGAAAGTTCTAAACGTACGTTTAGACGTTGATTATTTTGGGGGCGCCTGGGTGCCTCAGTTGGTTAAGCGACTGCCTTCAGCTCAGGTCATGATCCCAGGGTCCTGGGATCGAGCCCCGCATCGGGTTCCCTGCTCTGTGGGGAGCCTGCTTCTCTCTCTCCCACTCCCCTGCTTGTGTTCCCTCTCTCGCTGTGTCTCTCTCTGTCAAATAAATAAATAAAATCTTAAAAAAGAAAAAAAAGACGTTGATTATTTTGTAGAGAAAGATGTGTCTTCAACTCAAATCCCCAAACAGTCGTGGATGTGGGAGAGACACTGGGGCTGCCCAGCCCGCCAAGGCCTGGTTTTTGTCCCCAAGTCAAGTAGGGGCATAACCAGCGGCCCCTGTCGGGCGCTCCTGAGGGCTGGTTATGCTTCCATTATGCATGCAACCACTTCTTTGTACTTTTAACTCACGAACAGAAAACAAAACCAGATCCACCTTCCGAAAGTTCCAAAAGAGCAGGCGCGGGGGGGCGCCAGCCCCGGCCCGGCCAGACTTCCAAGGCTTAAGGGATAACCAAGCGCCCGGAGGACAAAGGCGGCCGGGGCACGCCCCAGCGCCGGGCGCCGCGACCCGGGGCCGCACCGAGCGGCGGCGAGCTTCTGGGCTGGTTTTCTAGACCAAAAGGCTGACAAGCTGCCCCCACCGGACTTCAGCGCGTCCCTCCAAGATCCGCAACTCTTTGGGGCCGCCCAGCAGAGAGCGAGCCCGGGTCCCGGCTCCCGCCCGCGCGCCCCGCGCCGCCCTCGGGAAGCTGTCCGGCGCCCCCGCCCCCCGCCCCCTCGGCCTACCTGCAGGGCGAGCCCCGCGGAGCCGCGGCTCGGAGCTCATCGCGTCCCCACTCGCAGCGCCGACGCCCGGGCGGCCTCCCCTTCCTGCAGCCAGGGGCCCGCGAGCCCCCGCCCCTTCCTCCGCCGCCTCCGCCTCCGCCCCCGCGCCGCCCGCCGCCCGCTCCCGGGAGTGCGCGGGAGCCGCGCCTCCGTTCGGTGCCTCCCGCCCCCCGAGCTCAGGCTCCTGCCCCTCACGCCGGAGCTCGCAGGGGCCAGAGCGCCCGGGGAGGGCCGAGGGACGCCGTCTCGTCCGCCTGGCGCCCGGAGGCGAGCCCGGCCCTCGGGTTATGCCGGTCGCCACCCCGAGGAGCCACGGCGGGCCGTTTCAGAGCACCTGCGCGGAGCCGAGGCTCGCAGTCCCCGCCTCCAGGGCTCGCGCTGCCCGACCGCCTCCAAGGTGGACGGTGTCTCGGGCAGTCCTTCCCCAGTGACGGTTACTTTATTGGACCTGAGATTTCTCTTAAATTCCCTTCGGGGAATTCGGGGCAAAGTAAAACTGGAGGCAACCCTAGGATTTCAGTCTGGCTTTCATAGGTAAAGTTAATTCGGGGAAGCAATCATGCAGAAATTCGGAGCCCGAACTTCGGAGTGTACAGGTGAGGACTTCTAGAGCCAGAGCCTGCTGTCCTCACCCGTAAGATGCCCGACCAGTGCGCTAATTGGGCGCGGCGGGGCGCTCAAGGCTGCATTTAACCGAGCTCCGCCTTAGGGGGTGGTTGGCTATTGTGTAAATTTGCTTCAAGGAACAACTCAAGTTCGGATGAAAAGGTGGCTTTCATCTTAGAATTCTAACTTCTCTGGGCCTTGTCATTTAAAAAGTAACCATCTTCAGACTGAGAAAAAATGTATTAAGGCATCATTTCTAATACGTTAAAATAAGTATAAGAAATCCGTCTAATATACAGATTATCCTATTGGGGAGAGAAAAAAAAATTTAACGTGGTAACTTTTCCCACGCGTACTCGGTCATTAACTTTAGTTCATATTTTAATATGAAATCAGGATTTTCCTCATCCCATGCCATTTACTACTGTTCATTTCGCTGTATGCATATTTCAGAAATCTATTTTAGTAACTTATTCTGTAGTTAAGACAGGAAATAACATTCTCTGCCTTATATGGTTTTGTAACGATTAAGTGAAATGACTACTTAAAACAGTGCCTGGCTTCTGTTACCACCATCTTTAGCTCATTGAAAGGATTGGCCTTCTTTTGGTTTCCCCATTACCTGGCACAGTTGCTTAGCATGTAGGAGGTGCTCAGTAAATATTTATCCATTGAATGAGATCCAGGATTTCAGCATTTGCACTCTGGACTTTAATCAGTTTGAACATGTTATCTGACCACCAGAACTTCCTGTCCTTTTGCCTAATTTTCAGGGTCTCCTCTGCTTGAATCCTGAAAACACTCACTTTATAGGCGTGGAACAGCTGACCCACTTACCTGAAAGGAGCAGATGAAAGGAATTTGTTACCTCCCCCCCCTCCAAGTATCTTGTTATCTCAGAAAATTGTGTTTTTATAGCATATGCATGTGGTTATATTTTAAAATAAGATTTTGTCTATCTTAAGACATAAGTACAAAGCATTTTGAGATACTTATTTCAGAATTATAAATGTGTTGATTTTAGCATTTTAAAGCAATAGCTATCCCAATAAAATGGGTAAGTGCCTAGGACTGGAAAATAGGCTGCCTAGATTCTAATCCTGGCTCCACCATTTTCTTAGTTGTGAGACATTGTACAAGTAATGCAACTCAATCTCCCCCAGCTTCAAATTCTTCTTTGTAAAATGGGGACCAAGCTTACTCAAATTTGGAGACAGTAACTGTCAAACTTCTAGAATAGTACCTGGCCCACAGTAAGCTTTCAGTACATTATTCTTAGCTACTGAAGACTACGTAGACCAGTTTTCAAACTGTAGTCTCTAAGCCAGCAGTATCAACATCATCTAGGAACTTACTAGAAATTCAAACTTCTGGGACCTATAGAATCAGATCTTCTGAATGAGGAGCTGAGGGTGGGGCCCAGTAGGTGTTTTTATGTCAGAATCCAGTGATTCAACTGCACACTCATGTGAACTGACATAGACTAATTAGAATCCTACCAATCCTACCTTCTCAAAGAAGAAAAAAAAAAAAGAATCTAAAGCAAATCCATATTATTAAAATAATTAAGATATCCTAAAGACTGAAAGTTACTTGACAGATGGCTTGAATGTCACTTTCATAGAACTTACTGAAACTGAAGGTCTTAGCTGTCATCTATCCTAGAAATGAAACATATGGAATAAAATTCAGAGATAATCCTCAAATTTTGATCTTTTTTTTTTTTTTTTTTTTCAGTTTACCCCACTATACCTTCTGGTGTTCCCTATATAAGTCACAGAAATGTTAGATTTCTATTATCCTGACTCCTACACTTAAGAAAAGTTGAAAGCGAACAAAAAAAGGTTTGTAAAGTTGTCAGCAAGGAGACTTGAAAGGATGTCTTGGAAACCTATAAGCCTGAGGCAAAAAAACCTAACATCACTATGGCTTATATGCCAAGAGGATACTACTGATCCAGTTTTAGTTACTTTTATTAGTAACTATTAGTTATTTTTTGTATACTGGTTACACGAACTCATTCTTGCTTTTATGATTTGAGCAGATGGCTGGTTTTGTAAGGTTAAGCCATGAGGAAAAACAGCAAACTAAAGGGGCTACTTCAATTATTGTAACAAGTCATTGTACAAGACCCGAATGAATATAGTGCAAGTAATATCTGTGAATTTGAGCAATGCAATAAAATATATGTGGAAGAATCTTACCTAATAGGTTTCATTCTACCCCAAAGTTACTGAAGTCAGTCTACTAAATAGTTGTTTTTATAGAGACCCCATTGTCTTCATTTTGTTAGATGTTATTCTTGTTTTGTACCAGGATAAAATAATATACATTTTGATTTCCTGATAATCTTGTACTTCTATAAATACTGACAGAAATACCACATTTTCATCTTAGGGAAAATCAGAAGAAAACAACTTTTTAATTAATATTACTAGTTTACAGGTTCACTGAAGGAAAGCCTGTTCCAGATGTGTTTAATTTGCTTTTGTCCTATTTCAATTCTGTCTTCCTTAGAGCTTCTTGGTGCCTGTTTCTCCACCTGTGAAATGAATACAGCCTTATCTGTTGCTGGAAGAAGTGTGTCAAAAGGTTTTAAAGACATAGACATTATTTGAAGGCAATATAGTTTTATTTAAAAATATCAGTGTTGTATTTCTTGCAGAGAGCTGCTGAAAACTAGTTTTGGGGTTTTCTTTTTGCTTGTTTTTTTTTTTTTTATGAATTTATTCTACGGATAGGGAAAATACCATTCTCAAAATCTAAATACATGCCCTGTGGTACATAATTCAAGTGAAGATATCAGTAAGAACTCATGCTCAGCTTAATATATATATATACACACACACACACATACAGAAATCATTATAGATTGTACATGGCTTAATATACATACGTATTTCCTAGCTCTGTTTGCTGGGAGGGTCTAGCAGCAGTGACACCCCAAGAGCAATGAGCACATCCAGCACCCAGATACTGGTTTCTAAGTTCCACTAGAAACCATTCTTCAATAACAGGAACCGGTGCTCTTTGGAGAAGAGGCTGATTCTAGTGCTGGAAATATACAAGGCAAGCCCAGAGCAACATTCCTACTTTCTTGCCAGAAAGTATGGAAGTGCTCAAAAATCAAAAGGATGGGGGCACATTAAAGACACATAGGAACCAACCTGACATAACTCCCAATAGCCGAGCTGGAACAATTTGAGCAATAAAATAAATATTACCCAAAGTCTAAAAGAAATATTCATGAGTCCATACTAATATAAATAATTGAATAAATGGGAGGGGTGAGGAGACAAATCCTTCTTACAGAAAAATACCAAGTACTATATAAAGATACTCCCCCTTTCAGGAGGCAGAACAGAGTCTTGCGCACCCCCCACCTCCCACAGACTGACTTGGGGACTGGCTTCCAAAGAACAGAAGTATGGAAACGGAAAAACAGTAACTTCACAGTGGAGAAACCTGACAGACACTACCTTAACCAAGTATTCAGAGTTAACATATCAAGTTGATAACATTCAACTACTGATACGATTTGCTGAAAAGAACCCTTCATCACCTCTGTGGTTTTCTTCCTTAAATATCCATAACCCCAGTCCAAATATGAGGGAAACATCAGACAAGCCCAAACTGAGGGGCATTCTACAATACACCTGACCAGTATGCCTCAAAACTGTCAAGATTTTGAAAAACAAGCCTGTGGAACCATCGCAGACCAGAGGCTTATCAGACATGATGACTAAATGCAATGTGGTATCCTAGAATGTATCCTGGAAAAGAAAAATGACATTAGTGGAAAAACCAGTACAATCCAAATGAAGTCTAGAGTTTAGTTAATAGCAATTACCAATGTTGGTTTCTTAACAAATGTTTTCACAGTTATGTAAAATGTTAACATTAAGGGTAAGGAGTATACAGCAAGTTTGTATTATCTTTGCAACTTTTATGTATATCTAAAATTATTCCAAGATAAAAATCTTAACATATAAAAACAGCTTCTACTGATCTTTGTATATAATTTATGACCATGAATTAAATATTTCATAGAATTCTGAGTCTGTCCTCTTGAGAAAGCCAATGCTGCCAAGAAAATCCATGAATCTAAGTTTAAAGTTACCTGGTCAAGTATTTCAATAGTAAATATTGGTAAAGATTAAATATGGATAATGGCTTATAAAATTTTAAAAAGTCTGAAAAGTATCAATTAAGGGTTCTAAACATTTAAGTTAGAGCCCAGTTTGCTCAATTAGTCACAGAGATACACTTGCCTTGTCTCATAGAGGACACATCTCTTAGCAGAAAAGCTCCATCATCTCAGTTTGGGAAGTTATTAGGTTTTTAGCAATGATATCTATTCAAAGTTAGGAATGTGGCCCTTTCTCCAGAACATATTTTTCTCTCTGCCCATTTCTGCCTGTACTGACTTAAAAAGAACCACTTCTGCAGCTGTCCTTCTCTGACATTCCAAGCAGTTTATCTTAGTAACTGTGGCTATAGGTTACCCACAAGCTCTCTATGGCTTGGGATCCTAGGCTAGGGAAAGCCAACAGCCAGTGGTAGGCAAAGAGCAGTAGAGGAATACAGCTGCGCTTTCCAAAGGGTGGAAAAGCTTTGAACACATATAGACATTTTCAGAGGCAGCGGAGGTCCTGGGATTTGCTTTCAAATATCTGCTAATAATTTTCAGGGTAAATAAGAAATCTACAAAACATAGTTCTTTGTATCTTGCTTTACCATCTCTTCTGACTCCACAGTTAAAGACTTTAAAAAAAAGTATCAAGAACAATATTTATTAAGACCACTATTAGGAAAAGATTACAGACTTTTAAAAATATAACTGAATCTACTATGAGGACCAAGTGCTAAAGAATAAACACCAAAGCATAGCAGCATATAATGTTCTAATGTGTATGTGAAATAACTTTTCATTTGTCTCATTAAATCCATCTTTTCTTCAATTTAGGCAAAGGTTATAGCAAAATATGATGTTTGTCATATGAATGGTTCATAAAATGCAAGTGGCTGTGCTTCTGATTTTTGTTCATGTCACCTTTAGACACATTACATAATAGCTAGATATCCTGGTTTTGCTCCCTAAGAGGCCACCAGCTGATGGTTCCAATTTTATAAGAAAAAGAAACATGGAAACTTTGTCCTTATAACTAGTTTTGTCATTAATAGAACTGCTCAATTGGCTACAGGAAAACAGCATGTTATGTGTTAATTAAAACAGAGAAAAAATAAAGTCAGAGCCTTCCAGGAATAAATGTATATTTAAATTTTTATAGTAAACATATACTTCTAAGTGAAGATTTTCCCATATTTCCAAATAAGATAATGTTCAACATACCTTGTAATCAATTTTACATTTGACTTCATTGTTTTGGTAAATACAGTTGTGAAAACGGAGTTACAGACTCCTCCTTTTAAAATATTCTCCCCTTAACATGCACCCCTTTCTGAGACTGGTCAAGACAATTTGGTACACTAAGGCAGCAACGTCCAGGAAGATCACCTCCCCCACTTTTTTCTTTAGTTTGAAGTTTTAATGTCAAAATAAAGTCTTAAAATAATCCTTTCACAAAAATAAGGCAGCTTTATGCTGTAAAAACAGTAGTTCCTTGTCAAAGGCTATAGTCTTCTGTCCTTATCTGCTGTCACCAACTGTCAGCATCATCTTTAAAGATCACTTTTTTCTTCATAGCGACACCTACATGCGGCTCCTTGGCTGTCCAGGTATGGTTTGCAGCCTAAATGTATAACACTGTCAAACAAGAGCTCCACTGTGGTTTCACAGGCTGCGAAGTAAGAAAGTGCTGTTACTGCTGGGCAACCGCAAAGCAGCGCTCTCCCTCCACATACATTACATGTTACAGCACAGTGTCAAGCACATCCTCGGTGGGCACTTAAACATCTGTTATGCCAACGTCCTCCCAAACCCTCAGAGGCCCGAAGCACATACATATAGACTTTCACTTGAGCATGTATCTACTTTTTTGTTTGCCCGCAACTGTTCAACCCATTTTTTTTCTACTAGGCAAACAAGTCTCTCTCAATAACACTGATTAGTTCATCACTGTTACTTTTCCTTTTATCTGAAAAATGCCACTAATAAATATGCCTTAGAACACTCTTAATTTTGCATTTCAAGGAAAGATATTTAGGTGTAGAAAAATAAAGGTTAAAAACAGAGAAACCTCAAGACATTTAATTACGGCCAATGACTTCTGAGAACTGATCACACATCATTTAAGATGCTTAAGGTAAATGGACCCCAGTCTCTCTCTCTCTCTTTCTCAATATCCCAATTCGGCCTGGGAAGGGAGACCTAGGAATCAAGTGTTTTTTCTCTGGCAGGGCTTAAAATTTTTTTTAGGACTATAAAAAAGATAATGGATTTACTTATTCTAAGAAGCCTGGAGCATCCAGGTGAGATTATCTTCATACACTTCACTTCCAGAGACACAGCACAGAGTAGCTTTTAGTCATCCAAATACTTCCAGTTTCAAATACTCATGTTAGGGAAGAAACTCTTTGGGGCACCTGGGTGGCTCACTGTCTGCCTTCAGCTCAGGTCATGATCCCGGGGTCCTGGGATCGAGCCCTGCATCAGGCTCCCTGCTCGGCGGGAAGCCTGCTTCTCCCTCTCCCACTCCCCCTGCTTGTGTTCCCTCTCTCACTGTCTCTCTGTCAAATAAATAAATAAAATCTTAAAAAAAAAAAAGGAAGAAACTATTCATTGCAAAATCCTGACATTTTCAAACTTCTCCAAAAGGCTGTGTCATTAAGGAACACAACCACCACAGAAGTGTAAAGGCTATAATTATTCAATAGGGCATTGAAAGGAAATTGGCTTCATCATTTAGCCACATTAGTATGCCCTTAGATCAGAAGACAGGAAATACATCCATGTACGCTTCCGCTGTGCAACTAGTTTGCCTCAGCCGAAAGCATGCAAAGGATTCAAACACTGGGGGTTCAAGCTGCACCTGGAGCAGAGACTTCTTCCTTGACAGTTATTACTAGGAATTCAGAATCAGACCTATGACATTGTTTGGGGAATACTGCAGTAGACAGAACACAAGTTTTAAAATCGAAAGTATGCAACTTAGGAAGAGTTACTTCTTTGAACCTCCTTTTCCTTTCTTGAAAAATAAGTATAGCACTACCTACTTCTTTGGGTTTTTGTGAACATTGAGGAAAACATATCTAAAATATCTAGCATGGTACCTTATGAAAAATGATTAAAAATGTGTAGTTTCCTTTCTTGCACCTTCTCTTCCGATTTCGATGTATGATAAATACTTCAGCTTGACAGTGAAAAGATTTTGTAACTTCTAGTATTTGTACAGTGATTTGTATTTCCACAAATATCTTATTGTATCTTTATGACAACTCTATGAGATAGGTAGGTAGTATTTTATAAATGAGAACACTGATGCACCTTTACCCTTTGCTGACTTTGTTTCGTATCCCCTCACTCTGAGTATGACTGTATCCTGATTCCTATGAGTCCTCCTAGCAAACCTGGGGGTTGTTTTGGGGACCATCCTGACACAGATACATATGAAGAGACAGTTAAAGCTCAAATCTTCTAGAACTTCCCACTCTAAATCCTGTGTTATACTTTTAAAATCACGGGATCCGGGGTTTCAAACTTTAGGTTCTGGATAATTAGAGATAGACTACAGGGCACAAGATCTTGGATAAATTCTTCTCTGCCTCGCATACCCTCTTCCCAAGGTTTCCTAACAGTTTTTGATACCATCTTCCCAAGGTTTTCTAACACTTTTTGCTTCTATGACTATAAAGTTTTTTTCTACTAGGCAAAACTGTTTTTTGAACAGTTGCGGGCAACTCATCTCATTTGGAGATGACAAAGTCAATGACTCCTCCTCTCAAAAAATTGAAGGGGCTGTGTCACAATAGATAGAGTAATACACAGCGAAAGATTTCTAGTGGTAAATCCTGTACTGAAACATAAAGCAGTCAAGCAATAAAACTTGACAAACTGCTCTCATCTCCATCCCGCTGGATCATCCTTACCCTGAACATGCTGAGCCAGTCCTAGTGTCTTCTGCACATCCCGGCAGATCTTAGAGAGGCAGTACTGGAACTCCTCATCGCAGTCATTCTTGCTTTTGCCACAGGTCTCATAGCACCTGTCGTGTTGGTTGCAGCACTTTGTCAGGGAAGGGATGCCAATATTAAGCTGAAAGAAGCATTTGGATGGATTATAGTTGATGAAATTCAAAACTCCTCTGCTGAAGTACTGCATTCAAGTAGACTTAGAAATCAAGGACGATACTGTGTAATTTCCCAAATCCATTTCTTTCTACAAATGTTTTCCACGTTATTTATACATCTGCCCATCACTCACCCGCATGCACCCATGTTCTCTCCCTCTCAGCCATGCCTCAAAACTCCCTATTTTGCAATATTCAGTTATCTGCTGGTAACAAATGTAACTTCCAATTGTCCAAAACACAAAACATAGTTTCAAAAACACAAAGGTCAGGCTAAGAGCAAAGATTGATTTTTGGACATTCCGAGGTATTTTGTACCTCTCCCCCTATAAAATGTACTTTATATGAAATATCACTGAAAACTTAAAAGTTTTAAGCTCCTACAACTTACAGTTTATATTACTGTGGTTCAATCTTTAAGTATCCATTCCCTAAAGATACTGTTCCTTCAAATCTATAACTTATCTTTAACTGTTTTAAATAACATCATATTGCAAAACCTGTGTCTAGGAATCACTCATAAACACCTTTTTCCCGCAACAGTTGGCTCAGATTCAGCCTCGCCTACAAAAAAAAAACACAGCTATCTTCCTTAGCTTTGCTTTAATATAGAAAATATTATGTTTTATCTATACTTTTTCATCTAAGTAGCATTACTTCTATACTCCAAACTTTTACACCATGTTTGCAACATGAGGAAACATCTTTTCAATAGTATTAACATCTACAAGATTAAAAAATAAAACATGAATTTTATTCCATTTAGTTTTGTTAGGACTTATTAAATGTGGTTTAGCTATAAAAGAATATAATAAACCTAATTAACATTATAAGCAAAATTATTTGTGACTCTGAGAACACACTGACAATCTTGAATTATTAAGAGTACTACATAGTTGGGGCACCTGAGTGGCTCAGTTAGCTGAGCACGCGGCTCTTGATTTTGGCCCAGGTCATGATCCCAGGGTTGAGCTGCTTGCTGGGCTCCACACTCAGCAGGGAGTCTGCTTGAGATTCTCTCTTTCCCTCTCTCTCTGCCCCTCCCCACCCCTGCTTGTGCATGCTTTCTCTAATAAATAAATAAATCTTAAAAAAAGAGTACTACATAGCCTACTAATCATAAAACTTCTCAAATAAGAAAATAATAATATTTACGTGAACACCAAACAGTGGAGAGCCACATCCATTCGGCGGGGAGGGTTTATAACCATAACGCGGGAAGGGCTTAGATCCTATAAAATATAAATGGTATCATAATTAATTTTCAAATATAAAAAACACGCAAAAAGGTCTATGAGGTACTACTAGACTAGTCTTGGAAATATTTAATATTTGGGTACTGACATAAGTGAATGTCATTATTCTAAGCCTATACCATACAAAACATATAAAAGCTTATTCTGGACCTTCAGGAGATTTCAGAGGTTATATGCCAGACTGGGTCCATATGTATGAAAGATAAATCCACCCTCTTTCCCTGTACATTCTAACACTCACATTTTTTGGTTAAAAACTTATAGGGCAAATCAAAAGGAATGAGATTTTGCCATTTGCAACAATGTGTATGGAACTGGAGGGTGTTATGCTGAGCGAAATAAGTCAATCAGAGAAAAACATGTATCATATGATCTCACTGATATGAGGAATTCTTAATCTCAGGAAACAAACTGAGGGTTGCTGGAGTGGGGGGTGGGGTGGGAGGGATGGGATGGCTGGGTGACAGACACTGGGGAGGGTATGTGCTATGGTGAGCGCTGTGAATTGTGCGAGACTGGTGAATCACAGATCTGTACCTCTGAAATAAATAATACCTTATACGTTAAGAAAAAAAAAAAGAAGATAGCAAGAGGGGAAGAATGAAGGGGGGAAATCGGAGGGGGAGATGAACCATGAGAGACGATGGACTCTGAGAAACAAACTGAGGGTTCTAGAGGGGAGGGGAGTGGGGGGGGATGGGTTAGCTTGGTGATGGGTATTGAAGAGGGCACGTTCTGCATGGAGCACTGGGTGTTATGCACAAACAATGAATCATGGAACACTACATCAAAAACTAATGATGTAGGGCGCCTGGGTGGCTCAGTTGGTTAAGCGACTGCCTTCGGCTCAGGTCATGATCCTGGAGTCCCGGGATCGAGTCCCGCATCGGGCTCCCTGCTCGGCAGGGAGTCTGCTTCTCCCTCTGACCCTCCCCCCCTCTCATGTGTTCTCTTTCATTCTCTCTCTCTAATAAATAAATAAAATCTTAAAAAAAAAAACTAATGATGTAATGTATGGTGATTAACATAACAATAAAAAATTAAAAAAAAAAAAACCCCAAAACTTATAGGGCAAGAACTGTATCTTCCCAGTCTTCAGCCAATACTCCACTTCACACAAACCTCAATAACCATTAACTAACCAGTCTACTCATAGAGCTTAAAGCTAAGGAAGATAAGGTCATCCAACAAACATTTAATTGCCTCAGTGCCATTATAAGACATTACAGGACCACACATTCTAGCCTGGACTCCAACCAACCATTTCACAAATACATTTCTTTGCCAGCTAAGGAAAAAGGTCAGGAATAAAGATAGCTTGGTGAACCATCTTACTCCAGCTCTATTCTCCCTAACAGCACCAATGGTTCAGTAACCAGGAGAAAGATGACATTATCACAGCAATCTTAACTGCTGCAAAGTACTTCAAAAATATCTCTCCTCATGAGATATACAAATTACTTCAAGATACCAGTCACCTACTTTCTCTTGAATGATTCCCACAATCCTCCTACAGTATCAACAAATAGCCTATTCCATTGTGGAATGGCACTAACTGTTAAATTCTTTCTTGTTTTCTTATGAGGAATCCTCTACCCCTAGGGAACACAAAACAAGCCAATTACTATTTTACATGATAAACCCTCCAACATTTCGGACTACCATTTATCTTCAATTCTAAAAGCAAAACATCCCCTGTTATTCCAAGTATCTCCCCATAGTTCCTTAGGAAAAACACAAAGTATCTACCAACTTTCAGTCAACTAATATTTATTACTAGAAGACTTAAATAAAGATAAGTTTACCCTCCAAAAGTAAAGTGAGGGGGAAGAAAAGCAACCCTTCCAGTATTCAACCATTAAAATAAGTAACCCACTCAAAGTAAGGATCTAAAAATAGTTTAAGTGAGTTGCTAAGACTCACATGCTCGGCTGAAGTGATGAACTAGAGCCTAAAGAAAGTATAACTTCCTGACGCTTTAGCCGGCTCCACCCAGTCTGAAGAACAGTATGTACGAAGAGAATGGTTATGATGGATTAAGGAATGAGGAGGCCAATGACAGAAGTTGGGTTTTCTTTCTCTAGCACTGTCCAAGAAGGATGGTTGTTTCTGGGCCCTTGGAAAATGAAGGTACATACCTCAAGCTATCACGGATGAGTCACTGTGATCCTTCAATTCCTGCTTTTGGTCCTTCACTCTTAAGAAAACTGTTTATGATTTGGCTTTCCACTTAAAAGGGCCCACAGAGGGGCGCCTGGGTGGCTCAGTTGGTTAAGCAACTGCCTTCGGCTCAGGTCATGATCCTGGAGTCCCTGGATCGAGTCCCGCATCGGGCTCCCTGCTCAGCGAGGAGCCTGCTTCTCCCTCTGACCCTCCCCCCTCTCATGTACTCTCTCTCATTCTCGCTCTCTCAAATAAATAAATAAATCTTTAAAAAAAAAAAAAAAAAAAAGGGCCCACAGAGGGAGGATATACTAACTTCCTGGATATCTAAGGGGCACCTCAGACTTAAGAGGTACCTCCTGATATTCATCCCCAAATCTGCTCCATCCATAGTTCTGTCTTCTCAGATAAAAGCAACTCCAACATTCCCGGTGCTCAGGAAAAAACCTTAGCCATCTTTAATACTCTCATTTTCTTATATCCCACATCCATTTCCACAGCATGTCCAGTTGATTCTACCTTCAAAATATTCAGGATCTAATCACTTCTTCCCACCTCCACTGCTACCACCCTGCTCCAAGCCACCGTGGATTATTGCCATAACCTCCTAATGTCTCCCTACTTCGCTTTCCCCACTCCACAGCAACCCCACACACCACCTCCAGCCATTGTCTATTCTCAACACCAAACCTGAGTGATCCTATAAAAGGATCCTATAGAAGGTGTGTGTTAGATCGGGGCGCTTGGGTGGCTCAGTCAGTTAAGCATCTGCCTTCGGCTCAGGTCATGATCCTGGAGTCCTGGGATCGAGCCCCACATCGGGCTCCCTGCTCTGCGGGAAGCCTGCTTCTCCCTCTCCCACTCCCCCTGCTTGTGTTCCCTCTCTCGCTGTGTCTCTCTCTGTCAAATAAATAAAATCTTTAAAAAAAAAAAATGTTAGATCAAGTTTTTCTTCTGCCAAAACCCCTCCAATGGCTTCGCATCTTATTCAGAATAAAAGTCAACAATTTTCCAACGCCTATAAACTCTATATAATCTGCACCCCCACACAACACACTATGACTTCTCTGACCTCATCTCCTTACTGTCCTCTCACCTCTCTTCCTTTCTTTCTCACTTCATTCCATCACATCTGACCTCTTCGTTGTTCCACAGACACTCCAAGTCTGCTCCTGGCTTAGAGCCACTGAACCTGCTGTTCTTCTATGTGGATGCTCTCACTCCTGGTATCTACATAGTAATTCCTTCACTTTCTCGGCAACGCCTTCTCTGACCATACCATTTGTAGCACGCATAACCTTCAAACATTATATTATTAACCTACTTACTTTGTCTCTGTCTCCCCATACTAAAATACAAATTCCATGAAGGCAGGAATTTGTGTTTCATACCTTCAAAGCCTCCAACAGTGCCCGGCATATGGTTAGGTTCTCAATAAATATTTGTTGATGAATGAATGAATGAATGAATGAATGAATGAGCAGGTGACTTGGAAGGCAATTCCCTGTGGCAGTTCTAATACTCATGGTACTGCTGCCTATCCTTCAGTGTCCTTTGAGTTTGGTGAGCATTAATCAACCTCCAAAGACTGATCACTTCTAGTTTGTCACATCTCTTTAAAATGTGCCATCCCAAACTGAACACCTATAGGTGTGATGGGCCTATTTTGAAGTAGATAAAGTACTTGTATTAATAGAACCTAAGATGGTTAGCATATATTTTAGCTGTGTCTCAGTTCTAAGATACATCAGACAGTAGGAAAAAACCATCAGTTCTTTCTAAAATAAACTCTACTGCTAGAGACTCAGCACTTCTACAGTTTATATTTTGAGCCTGAATATTAGATTGTAAAATTCTTCCTTGTTAGTTTTAGCTCATCATTCAAGACTGTTCAGCACAGTTTAAATTTAGAGCTATTTACCCAGTATTAGTGTTGCTCCCAGACATTCACAAACTTGAGACACAGATATTAACGAAGGCAGAGGTCCACAACACCCTGCCATAGATAAGCCCTCTCTATAAGCAGCCATGAAGTCATCAACCCAACCTTTTGGGTAGACCAATCAGTTGTGACTTCATTTAAATCAAGTTTTATCCAGCTTACATTTCTCATGGGAGTGTCATGAAAAAGTAGCCATCTGATTTGTGGTTTTCTTTGTCCTACCATGCTAGAAATCTCTTCACTGAATGGGAGGGAAGCTGGATCAGCATGATATTCTTGGGGAAGCCATTCTAGTTCCTGGAAGCTTCATCATGATGCTCTCTCGTCAGGGGTTTTTAACAATCAACCGTTTAAAATGTTTAGAAACTCATCTAGCAATAGCCATTAAGCAATGGGTTGAATTTTTAATCTGAAAAAAGTACAATAAATAAGCCAAAGAATATTCAAAAAGTCTGGAAACAGGAAAAGTAGTGTACTTACTAAACATATTTTTCAGGTTAACGACTGGACTTACTGCTATCAATTCAGAAGTATATCACTTAAAAAGTATCTAAAGGTTGAAGCAACACATATTGGGCACATTACTTGAGAATGTAACTAACATACTATTTATCTTGTTTCCAACTTTTTGGATACCCTGTATATTCCCCATCTGCCAGTCTCCAGATTTCTGGTACCGATCCCTTTTCCGTGAGAATCAAAGAGTACCTCCCTCAGACAACTGATATGGGCCTAGAGTTTTAAAGGCATGTGGGTTTCTAATATCAAGTGTCTACTTTTTTTTTTACTGGGAAGATATTTCCCTCAATGTTTTAATATTTATAGTACAGGAGCAGTTCTATTTTTCCTTCCCTTTGTATTTTATATAAAT